GATAGATAGGGTATGATATCCTATTCTCCTGGAACAGATCATGAAAGCTTGTTATTCTGTTGGAAGATAAAGCATCATCTGGAAAAACTAAATAAATGGCTTACCTCCAAATTATCCCGGTCTAGTTATAGAATAAATAAAAGGAGACTTCTTGTGAACTGAATTTTATTGGACTTAAGCAAGCTACTTCAGAAATGGAACTATATAAAGATTATACTTTTTCCTTTATTTCATTTGCTGATATTTGACCTACATTCGTCATTGCCTTTTCAATGCCATGTCATTTCTCTGCTCCAATCTCAATATATTCTAAATTTATTTTTCATTTGGGGTGATTCTAATTTAGTCATCCCCAACTACAGGCTCAAATAAATGAACATAAAAATAATAGAGAACCCATTTTTCATTAGTCAGTGCAATAAGTCTATTAGGACACTTACAAGCCAATGTGAAGCTCATATTTATTTCATGGAATCCCTTCATGGGTATAAAGAGCAAGATAACTTATTCTCTGATCAATTATAGCAAGTTATTTAGAGATAAATACCAAGCTCAATCTAGCTCTGTAACTCAATGCCAAAAAAATCACTGCATAATAGAAAAAGGGAAATTTGCTTATCTAATGAAACAGTATTAGGACAAACTACTAACATTTTTTTAAAATCCTTTATGAAAAATATTAAGTATATATCAATAATCAAAATACTTAATATAACTGTTTAATAGAGAGCGGATATATGTGTCACTGATATTAAAAATTACTATTTTTGCTAAACAAAAGACTTGATGTATGTATCTGAACTTGGCAAGATCCTGTTATTCTAATAAATAAGTGGAAGAGTTTTAATAAAATAATTTTAAAATTATTTTTAAAAAGTCTAGAACACGGTTATCCAATCTTTTGACTTGCTGCCTTGGGCTGCATATAAATCAAATATATAATACAGTTAATGTACATAAATAACAAACTTTTTTATTTGTATTTTTTATTATCTTGGGCTAGCATTAATAGCTGTCAAGGGCCACGTGGCCTAGACACACCTATTCTAGAAAGATAATTATACAAGTTTAATAATATGCCAGGTAACTGCCACTAAAATTTAGGACAATTTAGGGCTATTCCTTGCATTCAGTTTCTCCTTTAACTATATCCCAAGAAGTGAGGTTCCAATTCCAGAACATTTAGACCATCCTGTTTAATAATGTAAAATATCAAAAGCTAGTTACAGCATGTTCTGTGTATCTTATGAATGTAATAGAGTTAGAAAGTATTGGAATGACTTTAACACTCATATATTTTGATGAATGTGTAAGAAAATCTGTTGTTATTCCATGCAGTTAATTATATAGAACTACAGTCAATCTCAAAGGATTCACATAAGCCTTGAACTGGGTTGAGAATGAAAACCTGATGGTTATACCTGTTAGCAAGCTCAAGAAACAACTGGGAAGGGGAAATCAATAATAACAGGATGCGAGTAAAGCCTAGAGCCTACTATTTTCAGTTTGTACCATCTTTTTAAATCTAGCCTTCAAATAGAATTAGCATTATATAGCATTATAAAATGCTACCAACAATGGATCAAGAGACCATCATCAATGTTAAAGCTAACTTAAGTTTTTCTTCTATGAAGAAAAAAGCCTCAAAAGGTTAGTTTATAATATTGTATCACAAATTTGGACACTATACAAATACATTTTTAAATATAACACAAAGGTAGTTGTGAAGAAATTTTCAAAATTCTGGGTTGTAGCCCATACAGTTCATACTGATAACTAAATCTTTCTATTCAGTCTATGGTGTTTATTATACCATGTATCCACCAATTGAAAAAGGAGAGTTTAAAATACGTTTTCACAAAAGCCAAAGTATAATAGTGAGCTTATTATATTTCTTAAAAAGTCTGTGGATCTAAAAAAATATAAGTTTAGCAATCTAATATATACTAATTTATTTAACACTGTTTTTATTTGAATGCATTTCATAAAGCATTTACTAATTTAAAAAGTAAAAATGTAGCTTCATATATTTATTAATTTGATAGATCCCAGAGGACATTTATTAAAACAAAGTAGAAAAATTATGTCAGCTTTGGAGCAAGCAGATCAATTTACTTTTCAACTATGTTTTCAGATTTAGAATGTTTGCATACTACCAATTCAAAACTATATACTGTGATAAATTAACTGAATGTTAAGATTCAATTATACTGTCATAATCTGTTGAACAAAGTTTCCTCTGTTCACATGACACTAAGCCATAACTAAGCAATTATATTACTTAGAATATTTTATGAATCCAATGATTGTGTAATTTTTCTGCTGATGAATATCAGACCCACTCAGAATTCTGAAGACCATCAATGAGAAAATACATTTCCAATGTCGTTTTAAACAATCATGATAATAACAGGGTACAAAATCACATAAAACTGTAATAAACTTTACCAAGTAACAAAACAATGTTAGCAAAAGAATATGTGCTTTTAAATCATTCATATTAAACAAGAAATTCCAACCTATCCCAAATTTTTCAAAAAAAAACCCCACACCAAATAAACAGTATTGTAATACCAACAAATTGTTTCAGAACTAATTCTGGGCATTGATTTGTAGTAGTATTTTACTTTAATAGGATAGATTAAAAACCTGATATTTTGATTACAATGCTGATTTATTTTAGAACTACTTTGCCTCAAAATTTACCTGGAATAGTAGCTAAGCAATATAACATAAGTACACAGAAATAAGTAACTACCTGCTAAAAATAACAAGTTTTTCCTGAGCATCCCAGACTGTCATTTTCGATGGAAACCAATTAACTGGAAGAATCTTAAGTTACAGTAACCATATAAATTTTAAACCAGGCTAATGCTATCTCTTTTAATTATAAAATACACTTCTCCCTATTTTTTACAATTTATTTCTTGCTTTCCCACACAAAAATCATCCTTCTGCTGTTGTGGAAATTCTATCATAGAAAGGAGGGAAGAGAAAGACATTATGTTTGAACATTACGTACATATTATCATACTGTCAGTTTTGAGATGAGGGCAGTGTAAAACTGCAATATCATTTTCATTTGGTTATACACATGACTACTGATTATTTGTGACTGAATGAATTATACTATAAGAATAATCAGACAATGAAATGAAATCAGTTCAAAAATAGGTATTAAACATATATTATTCAAGGATACCGTGAACATGGGACTTTAACAGGCACAATCCAACTGGAAAATCAAGATTGCAAGCTTACGATGGTCTGAAAATTTTAGTGAAACTTGCTTGGAATTATCCTACACATATATTAAACCATTTTATATTGAGACATAATTAATCCATTAACACTTAAACCTTATGGGTATTAGTAGCAAAGTTGCTATGAGATTTATCTTTTATTGACTTCAAGTTATGGAAATAAGACCAGAAGTTAGAATAAAGATACATAATAATAATATAAAGATGCATGCCTCTATTATTGGATGGTTTATCTTTAATAAATCATAGCAATCATGAATTATATATGTAATATTCAATTGATAATGATGAACTGTCAATTGCTGTAATGAGAAAACTTCTTGTTGCATTTAAAAGTGAGTAGATTTGTCGACAATAAGATTTCATACATATATTAGTTTGTTATTTCTCCAAGTGGATAATTTTTATATCATGCTTTCAACTTAAATGGAACAGAATATCCTGGTATAGATCACAATTCTACATGATTGAAAGTTGAAATAAATATTTTAGAGGAATTTATTGTATATTTTTGAAGAAAAACCAACAGAGTAAGCCTATATATATTAACTGAGAAATCTTGGAAAATATCTCCAAGGTGAATTTTAGAATTGCAAATTTAGATATAAACTATTTCTTGCTCTACATTTTTAGGTTTCCTTACATTAACTTTTATAAAGCTGTGTCAGAACCAGTCTTAATTAAGAACATTCAGCTTCACAGAAAAGACCAGAATTTTCTGCATATCCTTTTTTTAATATGAACTTTTTATTCCCTTACTTTACTTTTGTGATTACACCTTTTACATATAAAAGTCTTACTGAATTGTATTTCCTTAAAGCATTTTGATACTTCAACAAATGAGGGAGCTCTACATTTCCAAATTTGGTACTTTGTTCAAAGAAATCATTAAGAAATATTTTATCTATGAAACTCCAAAACCTAGGAAAGGTCTGGTACAACTTATTTCAAACAAGAACGTATTGTTATTGGTTTTTTTTTTTCCAAAAATTGCAATCCTAAGCAATTTCTTTTCAGGAAGCCAATCCCATTCAACTTAAGTGTAGCATGCATTTCAGCAAACATCCTTTAAGAAAGAATAGTGTGTTAAGATTTTATGTTCCTTATGAAATACACACATACCTGTAACAATAATAAAGGTTCCATTAAAAAAGCAAGTCAATGTGGACCCTTCTTTACCTCTATGATCTCTTTTTTCCTAAGTAGTACTTTTTGTTTAATATCTGCAGATTTACAATAGAACTCCTGGAAGGTATATATTCCAGACTATATTTATTTCCTCATGTTTTCTTTCACTTAAAAACTACTTTTTATGAAATTTGTGAAAATATATAATTAGTTATTTGGTAGAATAAGTCGACAGTCCAGCTAATAAGGCTAAATTTAATTATTTCTAGTTCATGCTACAGAAAAATGAAATAAAGTATTACTTTTCAAGTTACCAAATGTACTTGATAGATTCAAGAGTTACTGTAACTCTTTTCAGCAGAATAGAAGTTTATCTTTTTTATTTAATGTCTATGATCTCATTTCCTTAAGATCTTCCTTATGAAGTTTTCCACATAGTTTTGCAACATAGTTTAGTAATGAACCAGAGAGGTTAAAATTTATCCTACTTGCCTATCTTATCAGCAAGTACCTTGAAAGAGATTTAACATGTATTTAAACTCAATAAACATTCCAGTAAAATGTGTTTCCAACAATACAGTCCATTTAGAAAATATAAAAAATAAATACCTGTCTTCATCACCATCAACAGGAATAGATATGCCAAAGACAGTGCTGGCAAGACTGTTCATAGGAGTAGTTGCAGGTAAATTAAGAGGGTTTGTTAAACTGTCCGGAATAGGTGGCTTCACATGAAGTTTGTTTTCAGCAACAAGAGAAAGTGGTGGTTGAGGTAGGGGTTCAGATTTTCTTCTAGTATCATCAATCTGGCCTAAAGGCTGTGTCTGAAATTGTCCAATGTTAGATTGTGGTATATTCGTAGGTACGCTGCTTGTGCCTTGCATTAATGGAAGGCCAATATGTTGCTGGACAACACTGGAACTTCTACTGACAGTTGTATGGCTGGTCAGCTGAGATTGGACTAAAGTAACAGAGGCATTTGGCATAGTAACAGAAGTTGTAGACACATTAGGCACAGTAGTACCAGGTACAGCTACAGGCACATTCTGAACTCCGGAGACTATACTGTGTGGAGTACCAGCCACTTGACTGCTTCCACCCATTTGCTGCTGAGTCATGGATTTCTGTTGAACAGCCCCTGCATGTCCAATGCCTTGCTGTACCACACCTCCTGGTTGAGAAATTACAGTCTGAAGTGGAGTTGTCAGGCCACCCTGCATTAGCCCAGATCCCTGTCCTATTGTTTCGCCTGCTGGTGAAGCAACTCCCATCACTGGTGCTAGAGGTGGAGGATTCTGACCAACTACCTGTGCTGCTGGAAGACTGGAAGCTCCAGTGCCTGTGACTGAGCCAGAAGCAGCCTGTTGTGTAGTTCCTTGAGACTGCATTACTGTCATATGCTGAATGTAATCTGGCTGACCAGGAGTCTGGGCTGACACCATGTGTACTGGTGTCATCTGTGACTGAGAGTAAGCAAACTGCTGAGTCTGTGCCACTGGTACATTTGCTTGCTGTTGTGGCATAGGCAAACCTGGCTGAGCTATTGCTACATTCGTAGATGGTAAGCCTTTCCCATTAGGCCCAGCTGGCCCCATGCTCTGTGCATTTACCTGTGTCTGCAACAGAGGCCCCATCACCTGCTGGCCTGCTACTGTGGCTCCTGAATAGATTGGCTGAGCATTACTGTGAGGCTGCTGGCCAATAACAAAATTAGGCTGCTGTGGAGAGGGCTGGTTTATTTTCTCTGGCTGGAGTAACTGTGAAACAGCAGTAACAGAACTGTCAGCTAAGGAGTCAGGGCCATGCACAGAAGTTGCCACACCTGAGACAATCAACGAACTACCAGTAGCACCTAAGCCACTGTCCCTATCTTGAACAACTTGTTCGAAAGTACTGTTGTGTCTAATGCAATCACCAGTCCTGGCTAACACAGTCCCACCATCCGAGTCCCGATCATAGTATTCCATACACGTCCATCGTCCCCGTCTAAACGGCTCTCCAGTACCATGGTCTAGCTTGATCACTCTGAAGCGAGAACTGCATGCGGCAGCAGCTGTTAGAGGCATGGCTGGCGGACCAGCAGCTGGTTGCACACTGCTGCCTCCTGTCGCTACTGAGCAGGCTTGGCTGGCAGTCGCTGAAGGCATCACAGTGCTCCTGGGAACCGCTCCTCCATTGGCAACAGGCACAGCAGGAGAAGGCGGCGGCTGTATCCCTCCAGAAGCTGCAGCAACAGCAGCAGCAGCAACTTGGCCATCCAGAAGCAAATTGGGAGAGACTGTCCCTGGAGTCTCAGCATCACCCACATTGTTGAGAGTTTCCTCAGAGGAGCTGCGCTCACACACATCTTCAGGTCCATAGTCGGTAGCACGGGACACATCGAAAATCTCTGATGAAACATCCTCGGTGCGGGATTCATCCGGGTCGTCCAAACTCTCGGTGTCCTCCGTGATGCTGCTAGCCACCTGGGCCGTCGTCACACTTGTGATCTGGAAACAGCTTTTTTTCTTGGCCGGCATCTTGGACATGGTTCCTTCGCGAGAGAGACGCGGGTTCCGCCCACCTGCCCTCGCCGGAGTCGACGAAAACTAGGTGAGGACCTTGAAAGGGGTCCGAGCTGGCCACCACACGAGCCTGGCCGGGCGTAGCGAGGACGAGGAGGAGGAGGAGGAGATCACGTTCTCTCTACGGCGCAGTCGCTGGCCGTCTCGCACATTCCTCCGGCCTCCCGACGCAGTCCGGGCTCAGCAGGCGGTCACCAGGCCTGGGGTTGGAGACGAGGCAAAAAGGGAAGGGGGGCGGTGGCCGAGCTCCTCCTCTTCCTCCCCTTGAGTAAAGCGGCGGGCGCCTTGGCGGGCAGGCGGCGGCGGTGCCGCCACCTCCTCCTCCTCCTCCTCCTCTCGCCTCTCCGCGAGTTCCGCTGTCCCCTTTGGCAGCTGAGGTTCCTTTCACAGCCGTTCTCGGGTTGCGCGGCCGGGGTGGCGCTATCACTCAAGCCGCTCCGCTGCCGGGCTTCCGGCCAGACCCGGGATTCCCAAGGCGGGCCAACGCCGCTGATCCGTCCGCAAGCTTTCGGAGAGGGGCGGCGGCGGCGGCGGCAGCCGGCGAGGCGTCCCTGAGGCGCAGGCCGCCCTGCCTCCCCGCTCTACCTGGAGATCAGCACCAGACGCATCATCTTCTGGGGAGGAGAGAAAAGAGGGGACGAGAACGAGTCCGGTCACAGCGGCCCCCTCAGGCGGGCGGGCCTCCTAGACGCGGCGGGGTCGCTTGCTCCGTGCCGCCAAAGCAGTTTCCCCGACTGCAGAGCCAGGTGGCAGCGAGGCGGAGCGGCCGGGCTCCTTTCCCCCTTTTCTGAAAAGCGCCGCGCACGCTCCGTTCCTCTGCGCCGCCGAAGGAGCTGAATTTCAAACTGCTCACTCCCCTCGCTCAAGATGGGGCTCAAATGGAGCCGCGGGGCAGGCTGGGAACGAGCAGGGCTCTGCTACTGCAGCAGCCTCGCTTGTCTCCGCCCCCCACGCAGGGGCGCGCGCTGACATCAGCGCCAGAGGACGCGCCCCTCTCCAACTCGAGCGGGTGAGAAATTTCATCCGGCCGAGAAAGGGGCGGGCGAGACGGAGGGAGGGGAGGGTGACTTCGCTGAGGCAAAACCCCTCCCCTTCGCGATCGTCATGTTAACCGTTTGGAATATTCCACTGGCTCCGCCTCGCCTTCTCTCTCTGTCAGCAGACTTAGTATCTTCCCCCGGGGGGGGGGGTGTTTGGTGGTAAAGCGAGGGTAGGAACGATGTGGTGCCTTTATTTAACGTCCCTGCTTGTACTTCACGTAGAAGTTTTATCTGCCCCGCTTGTGGCACTTTTATCTTTTAGGATGTGACACACCCGGCTAAGTTATACTATAACTTTTATAGCCTGCCTCGAGGGTTTTCTAATGTGGAAAGTGCTTCCCTTGCTGCCAGGACTATATTTATGAGTCTGCTGGGTTTTTAACTGGTTTGAATCCCCATTAAAGTTAAATGTTTACCCTCTTCCACAACGGATTTCACTTCTAATCTTTGCTTTATTTCCCACACTATTTCACCCAGCTTTAGTGGCCCAGTATGGGGGAAACGGCCAGAAAACTAGTGGGCAAGACATCCCCAACTTTAGGAAAGTTTTTTTTTTTTCTGCCACGTGGTGTTTCCCAGGATTTGGCAGCCTTAAGTAAGACATGCCTTGTCATACGGGGCACTACCTTGTTTTGGTGTATGCTTTTGACTAAAGATCCCCCAGGCAACAGATTCTGGGCTGCCAAAATCCAGGCAACCGCTAGATGGTGACACAGAGCTGTCTGAATTTTGGCTGTTCAGACAATCCTGGACAAGAAGCTCTACAGTTTGCTCTCCCATTGAATAGATGTTTGCTACGTGTTTTTTAAAAAGATTTTGAGAGCCAAATTAACAGTTCAGGATACTTGCCTATGCAATTGTAACCCAAGGGATCAAGTGCAATTTGTTTTGGTGAAACAAATGAAAGTGTTTAGGACAGAGCCTTGGCCATTCATTCTATCCTTCCAAATGTGTGGTAAATTTCAATGCACAGCCACCTGTAACCCAGCAATCAATGGTAAAGTATATTGGGAGAGGTGTTTTAGGATCTGAAAGGGCACATACTACCTTTTGGTTTATTAGATGAGTTTGTTTGGGTTTTTTTTTTAAAGACCAAGCTGCTATCTCAATGTGCAAATTACTAGTGATTTTAAAGGAATTAAAGTTGATGGGAACTACCAGATGACCACAATTTGACTCACTTCCCAAATGTTCAAATTTAAGATTATCACCCTTTTCTTAGCACTAGTGTTATCTGTTGTAAGATACAAAGATTATTTCATCTTTGAAATATTTTTTCACACTTCTTAACTGCTTGTCTCTCAGAAAAGGGCTTTGGGGTGTATGTACAATTTAATCTGCAGCAATGTTATATGCAGAGAGATGGAAAAATTCAGCATTATCCACTATGGAAGAATGGTTGGTGAAACTGACATCTTGCTGAGACAGATAAACTAACTTTGATTACAGAAAAGATGCTATCTACATTTATTACTGACTTGAAACCTCTTATGGGATTTTTCCATCAAAATGAATTGTGATTTATGGCTTTGATAATTAGGCAGGATTTTTTCTTTCCTTATATATTTTGCTTTCTCTTTGCTTTCTTGCTTTTTTCTTTTTTCTCCTTATTTGTGGTATTAGTTTAAATCCATTTAATGATAATTTTTATCATCTGTTTAAAAAG